AAATGCCATAGCACAAACCCAAGCCATCACATCGTACCCAACCAGGCCTGACACTAACAAATAGGGAGTAAGGGAAGATAGTAATGTATCGAAACGTGGCGGGAGGCGCCGAAGAAATATTGGTAGGGAGATGAGGAAGGGGTAGGGGGGACCCTCAAGCGACAATCACCTACTACGCCAATGAAATTTCTACCTGTCAGAAGATTCTTCTCCCAGAAACGACATCATGACTAGGTCACCTCCTCTTCGCCACGGAATCAACCAGAAGACAGGAGGACGGGAAGGACGAAAAAACTGACGGAAACCTATAGAAGAAAAAGCGCTGATTGGGTGCAAAGAGAAAACATACTCCTCATGTCACGACAACTAATGACTTTTTATTAACTGCAACAATTCAGCTTCGGCCATAATAAACACCATCTCATTATCTGATGATGGACGACAAGCATACGGTGAATAAAGATTTGCATTAGAGATTATAGTCGCTAGGAGCTTAACAATGGACATGACCTATTCATAAATTCCAGCATGCACCATTTTAATAATTGTGTTTGCCAAAGGGCAAATTCAAAGTGCTATGCCAGGCCAACAGACATTTAAGTTTAACATATTTATAGTCAGGAGAGAGAGAAAAATCTGCCGTCTTCGAAAAGCAGAAAAAGGGAAATAAGAATGGAGGGAGTAGAACTAAAACACTGTTGTCTGAGCACAGACACAATGTTCACACGAGCAACACACAATAACAATGTAAGCAGGTGAATCTATGATCCGTACACTAACAGATACCCACTACTCGTATACAGTGTACGACTCTTACAAAGGATACATACACTCGTTAATCTGTCAGATCATCCATATCATTACTAGAGGTAGGGTCACTTAAGTGCACATAGAACTTTACATAAAAAATAGGTCATATTGCTCCGCCAGCACAGAAATTAGCTGTACCACCCCTAAATCAAACAGCTTAGTTTTTATATCCAATATCTCCCGATTTGCTCTCATTCACCCGCCAGAATTTACATCCTGATCTCTCCTCAGCCCAGACATACTACGTGCGAAAGCAGAGGTATTAGGCAGATCACGAATTCTTAGTGAGGGAGAAAAATCAATGACAGTAATACACTTCAGGAGAAAACACGTGGTTGAGGTGATTCGGATACCGGAGCACGCACACCATCTCTACCCAGAGTACCAAATAATCTTCTCTCCAGCATGACAAGCAGACACAACCAATTAACAGCATCGTACAACTCAATAACTAAAGCTATTAAGACCCCACTCCTACACCTCAAAATTTATGTGTGTCCAGCGCGGGGCAGCGTAAGAGGACATGAGGCCTGAGACGAGCCTGCTATGATGGAATCTAATTCTTATACTAGACCACATCTGAGTATGTTTATTATATCCACTCATGCTTCACTAAAATCTCATATGCAGCAGATGCGTCTCCGAGACTACTCACAAATTATGTAAACTCTCCAAGAGTATTACAAAGCTTGATCGTTGGGGGGACATGCGGACCCGGGAACAATAGGCGAACATGAGGAACTGAAATTCGTCAAACCTCTTGGAATCTTGTGGCAGAGCAGACCTGTGGATAAAAATACCAAAAGTACATTCAAGATTATATTCAATATTAAAACATCATAAACAGGCAATAGAAAAAATACTCACATAAGTGTTGACAAATAATGTGATTAAAGAGACGACAGACAAAGAAATTAAAAATTTCAGTGATGCATTCTAACACTTGATAAATAGGACAGATTGTCAAATTCCGTAAAACAAGTGATCACTTTACGCGGAATTCACGAATACCCTACTTGAAGCAACTAAAAAGGTATACTGTAACGTAAATCGTCTATCACACTATAAGGCACAATTACTATATACAGAAAACCAGAAGTTTCACCAAAGTTCGCTTTACAAAGTTTCAGGAGTGTGATTCCATCCGTCAACAACAGGTGATGACAACGAGCTGACAACAACAGTCATCAAAATCCTACCGAACCGCATGAACACGTCAATACATCGACCATCTAACATCTCACTCCATTCAATACATAAGCAAGACCTATTGAACATATAATTCTAGTGCTACGGGGAAAACCGGAGACGGGCGACCCAGTGAAACCTACGCAGGACCCACAATTGAAGGAGCAACTGCCCAAACTCCCTCACTACAAAGGCCCCTGTATCTAGATCCGGGGGGGGGGGGGGGGGGGGGGGCGGAGAAGAATTCAGCCCAGGTACCTTTCTATGACTCGGACACCATACAGTGGACAACGAAACTGTATTTAGAAAAACTTGTTTCAATATCAAAAGAGGCATTCATGAAACATATCGATTCAAATTCAATTAAATTACAAAACTCTAATTTGTAATTGAAAATTGTCCCACTCAGATAAGGACTTTACAAAAGTTGTTCGAATTCGGCCACAACAGAAAAGAGAATCCAAGACTGTTTGAAAGACTGACCAGATGAAATTTAACAACAATAACAAACCGAAGGCAAAGAACGACTTTAAAAAAAACACCCGAGAGAGAATAGTACCAAACCTTAAGCCAGAGTCCGTGTTGAGAAGAAGGACGACAGGCTTTGTATCCAGGACGTCCAGACTTGTAATCAACGAGGACTGGTCTACACTCGGGAGATCTAGGCAGAGAGGAATTTCAGAAGCTCCGAGCCATGGTTTATGACGCGTGCATCCCAGCTCCCTTGATCGGAACTCAAAATGTTTTGTTATTTAATGCCTTTCTATGAATTCCCATCTGATCCGATCCAACTTGGAAAAAAAATACACAAGTCCCGCGAGACGACTCGCCTAGTAGTAATTTAGGCAATGCAACAAAACAACTGTTCAATTTCCACTAGTTTTTATTTCAGTTATTTTGTATTTTATTAAATTTGAGTCTTACATGCTGGGGTGGACGGAGTCAGCGGCTCTACAAAGACATAGTCCACTATGACTTAAAGGCGACATGACCATGCTGCACATACCCACACACACCCGGCCTGTGGGGACGTGGACTCCGCAATAGGAATTAGCAAATCGCAACAACAGTCTAGTTTCTGTCGCCTGTGAATTTTTGAGTCACTCGTTTAAATAAAATGTAAGCCACGTGCAGCTGACACATGCGCAGATGAGTTTTTTTCACATTTTCCACCGCCACGGCTGTGATACCAGTATTTTGTAACTGCTCCACAATACCACCGACGCATTAGACTAGCTTACGACATCTGGTAGAGGAGATAGAATGTCGAATACGACTACGTTCGAGTTAAATAGTGTAATACATGCTCACTATCGTTGGTTCTGACTGACCATATTTCACACATGACAGTAATGCCTCATCACAGTCAGATTCTTCTGCATTTGGACAGTACATATGTTCAAGTCGCCAATAAAACCACACCAACGCTTGCCCTCCGCACATCTTCCATAATTCGGTTAGAGGTATAATCTGAAATAGAACTCCACACAACACCACACAACACGCTCACACACACACACAACACACACACGTGTGCCGGGGCTTACTATAAAGTGAATTATTCCCATAACGACGATCACACTCGGTGTAATGAAGGCGTGTACCGCAGCTAATCAGCTAATCGGCCGATCTCGACAGGAAGACATTCACCACCACCGTGGAAGGACACAGAGAGTCCTCTGTTATTGAGCAATTATCAGACAAAGCTCAACTTACATTATCATCATTGATTTATCCACAAGCTAATCCACAACTAAGTCACAATCAGCTACCCTACAACAGAATATGACAAAAGACCAATACCCTCTTCATCCAACATTCGCCCAATTCCGATTCTTTTCTCTCGTTACCAGCCATCCCCCAAGTGGCCCTAGGACTGTCCACCGCAAGAGCCAGGCTAATGCGACCATTTCCACTCAAGACTCAAAATCTGTCAACTCACCGCTGGCTGTCTCTCTCTCTCCTCTCTTTCTCTATCAAGAGGCATAACCACAAAGTCACTCGGCCTGGATGTCTTAATTTTTTTCTAATTCGGTATTTCTGACAGTGCACGAGCATCGAGGCGTCGCGCGTTTTCGGATTTGTGTGCGCGCCCGACAAGAGAGCAGTGTCTCAGGTGCAAGTTATCTGAATGTGCTACAACAAGTGCTTAAGTGACGAATACACGGGCCTCCGGACAAGAAGTGTAGTGGTGCAAGTTGGAGATTAATGGAAAGCGATAGATGACAAGATAAAAAAGAGAAAAGAAAAAGTGAGGAAAAAAAAAGAGAAGAATTTGTCAACGGAGCAGCAACGGAATCAGAGAATGATAAATAGGCACAGTAGCATTGGGGTGCTTGTTAGTGTAGAGTAATTGAGAGAACAGTCACAATGGACCTGTGTCCCTTTGATAAGAATGGGAATTTCTATTTGATTTGCGGAGAAAAGACCTTTATAACTGTGGTATCGAAGCAAACAAAAACAAGATTCAAAGATTATATATTATTTGATATCTTTGAAATCAGAAAGTGTTACGGCTGGTTGTTCTGTTGAAAGGAATAAACACCAATCCTGTGATACATATAATTACAAAGGTACGTTTTTTGTTTGTGATTACTTAAGGCATTGTGGGGGATCAAGACTATGGATCTTTCTACACTGCAATCAACCGTCTGGGGAAGCCAATAATCCTTTGGCTAACGTGTCCACAATTTGGTACAGAAATCAACTAAAGATTCTCCAAGTTTAACATCTGCATTTAATATCTTTACATCAGATACAGAAAACATTCAACAAAGAAGCACCTAACTCTATGCTCTCGTATCACCTGTGCGATGACCCCATGTCCTAGTCTGACCTCAAACCCTCCGAAATGGCACCATATCTAGGGAGACTTCCGAAAGTACGTCATTCCATAACCCGTCCACAGGGTGGAGGCTGTTCCGGTGTGCTGACGCTCCTTCGTCCAATCTGGGAGGCTTAGACATGCTGTTGCGTCAAATTCCCTTTTTTTCACGCCTGAAATGGTGAGGCGACCTTTTGCAATCTGCAAGCAATAATTTATTTATAACTATCTCGAAATAACGGATAATAAAATCGCCCCACTAATGTTCAAAAAACAGGCAGAATATCTTATCTTATAATTCCCTACCTGCTAATAATCCTAGTGTCAATCTTTGTGACTTACATCCCTGAGGAGCACCAGGCACTTTTTGCTTGGGAAAGAGACAACAGAGTTCAAATTACCGGGATTCAATCAAATTGTCACCCACTGCCTTTAGTCTGATATTTAAAATATTACAACATGTTCCCCTCTGTATGACCCTATAATAAAACCATTTAGTCAACAATCTTCAAATATTATCCCTTCCTGTGGTGTCCCTGGGACAGGGAAGCTCGTCATAGACATACACCTTTGGTTATACTTGTTCTGGCGTCCCACCCGTCTCACTCTTGCAGATTAATACAGAAGACAAGAACAACACACCCCACCACAATCGAACATTCTCTTCCACAAATCTCTTTGATGGACCACTGCAAGTCATTCTGATTCATTCTCAAACCATCGTTCTGTAATGTATGCACTAACTATATCCACTATAGTTAAACTATCCTAATACTATTTACAAATATGTATTGCTTATTTTCTGCTTTTTTGAAGCCCTAATCTTAAACATATGTTTTTATCTATAAATCTATCTATACGTGGTTTGCTTTCAATAGTCGGTGGCTCAGCCATTTCCGTGGGGCTTTGCTCATTTTTCAATACATTTTGTTAGACCCAGCACGTGCTGTCACTCTCCTTCGCTCAGACCAGTATTGGGATAAAATTACATCGATAATCAAAATGGTAATAATCCAGATAACGACGTACCGGAGCCAAATCACTAGTTTTAGCGGTATTCTCTGGGTTATCCGCTATACAACGGTGTTTCTTTGATTCTCCTAATCATGTTTGCTGACAGAATCGACAGCTCTTAAAATGTCTCAAAACTACTCTAAAGATCTACTTTTGTGCTATACCCCAAATTCAGCACAAAATCGCTTTTAACAACTGATTATATTGAATCTCTGTTGGTTCTCACAATCCCTATCACATTAATCAAGACTACATACACTTAACTCTAGCAACAACTCATGAAACTTTATCTACTATTTGCAAGTACATACTTTTAGGACATAATCATGAAGGAAATTGGTCATTTTTTACCGATTGATATTTAAGCCTGTCTAAAATTAAACTCTATTTTTCTAGAAAGCATCTATCTCATTCTTACTACTCTCACTTCGATAGACCTCCCAATATCTTGTGTGATAAGTTTGAGAACGACCTCAGAAAGCATATTCTCAATGTTTTGATAGTACTCTGATTGCTACTCACAAATTGCACCCCTAAGGCAATAATAGATTTTTTCAATTGGCAGGTTCTTGTTCTGCAAAACATCACTATTTCCTATAGTGTACTAATGTAATACTCAGGAACAATGTCAAAAACAACAACACTCGTTCACTCCCAATATTAAAGACAAACATCTAAAATCAAAGTTGCCTGAAAGGGATTTTAACTATTTTAAAACGTTCATCGTACATTTATAAGCGTATGGCATTTAATTATTTAATAAACATAAGCATCATTCCCATGGCTTCTTGTCCGCTTGCTTATAACTGTTTAAAGAGTTGTCCACACTTAATCATGTGTAACATACATCAGCTGTAATATGTAATTAAACAATAACATTTACCTCTCGACTCTCTCTCAGCCAATGGAGCAGCTTCCAGAGGCGTGCGCAAGAAGCAATGTTATATTTGAGACTATTTTTAGATATAAAATTGTGTTAAAGCCTGTCCGTTCTGTTTTCTGCATTTTTAATACAACTACACTATATACAGCTACATCTAGCCCACTACCGTTTCATACAATGTGAGAAACAGAACAACATCTAAAATCTGACTCCATACCCTTGACTATCCTTTATTACTCATATTAGTTATTAAACAATTTGACCCTATTCATACTTAACTTCACAATAGCACTATTTTTGATTATTCACTTCAGTCTGACACAATACTCATACTATTGTTTATATCTGAACTCATCTAGCGACTAATTAATCACCTATAAGAACCATCCTCGAATCCAATTTGACCAATTTCAAACGCTGTCCCGAACTATTTCAACAATCTCTTCTATTATATAGACTTTATATATACTTATGAACCCTGATACTCTATCTTCAACGATAGTTAAGCACATCCTGTTATGATCGTAATAAAGCGCTATTATTTCACCCTTGATATTAGCCCACCACCTTAAATTTAGAATGACCCCCTATCGGGACAAATAATAAATTGTTACTTTCATTTTGACCACATCTCCGAAAATTACTGTAACAGGCACACACACAGCGCGGCCTTTGTGACCTAAAGAGATTGACACTATGCAAGATTATTCTCTAAAATGTACTACTTGGGCCAATAATACAGACGCATCATTTGACACTTGCAAAATGCTCACGAGCGTGTGGCTGCCTCGTTGAAATACCTGCCCACTCTCCACCAAGTAACTTTCGAAGCAGAACACGGACTCGTCTGCCACCCATAAACACAGGTCACCTATGACTTGGAAGAAACAACTTAGCTAATTACAAAACGGCAACAGTGCGCTGATATACACTCCATTGGAGCCTACGGCATTTGCTACATGCATTTTTCTCACCTGCCCTCCAGAACACCCCAAGCCCTGGTCATGGGCATGACGGCAAGGAAAAATCCTTTAAAGCCTTCGGCATTGAGGCTTATAAAAAGGATAACTCGCTAAAGGGAATCGTGCCCATGAAACTACGCAGAGCTTCCTGACATAGTAAGAGCGTGCTGTTCACCGTGGTTCCTGGGAATGACATCAACTGCAAAGATGTCATTCCCAAAGCAGCTAACGAGCTAGACGCACCTGCCTCCAGGATATAGAAGTCCAAATGTGTGGTAGATTACTATGCACGGCGAGCGTCTGGAGCCTAGACTACACCAAAAGCCAGAGCCACAAGCAACTCAGCACTGTCGCAAAGTACACACTCAAACAGACAGCCGGTGTTTGTCGATTTTGAGTTGTGTACTGTCAGACAAGGGGCGCTAAAACAGTTGCACTGTGCAACTCAGTGTGTGTTCAAACTGTAGAGACCATGCCTACAGATATTGAGAGACTCTGCTGTGGTCAGCCTCCAGACCGCTGCATTAGTAATCTACCACACATGGACTTCTATATCCTGGATGAGGGAGTTCCTGCGTCTAGCTCGTGCTGCGTGGAATGACATCTTTGCTGGTCGATGACTCCAGGAACCCAGTGACGCAGCAGCGCTCATACAGACATAGCAGCTTACCCTGCACGATCCCTTTCGCGTTTCCTCTTTTTAGCCTCCTCCGAAGGTTTTAAAATTTTTCCTTGCCTCAGCCATGACCAGGAGTCGAGCAGGTGAAAAATGAGTAGCAAAAGCCTTAGCTCCATGAGTATAACAGCGCCTGTAGCCGTAAGCAAGTGTTTCTTCCAATCACGTGACCTGGTGGCAGACGGTCCGTCTGCTCGAAAGTTACATGGGCGGTATTTCAAGAGGGCAGCCCCGCTCGGGAGCATTGCAAGTGTCAAGCGCTGTAAATTGGCCCAAGTATTCATATAAAATAACTCATAAATGTGGTCACTCTTAGGTCACAAAGATCCGGGGGTAGTGCCTTAAGGTAATTTCGAGTTGTCAAAATGAAATAAAATTCTATATTTTCCATAGGGGGTCATTCTAATTAGTGTTGTGCAAATTCAAAAGGAGAAATAATACCCGCCTTATGAACAGCAAACAGATCTACTCTTTAAGAATCAATCAGTCATATAATAAAAGATAATAATAGAAATAGAATGAAATAGTCTGGAGCTATAATTCAATTGGATTCGAGGAGCTATCGGTGAAAAGTGCTAAGAAAGGTGTCAGAAAAACAATAGTAATAATAGTTAGACTAGTGAATAATCAAAATAGTTCTATTGTGGAAATAAGTAACAATAAGGTCAATTGTTCTAATAACTAAAGTAAAAAGGAATCAAATGGAGTCCAGATTTTAGATGTTTTGTTTTTATACCACATCTGTAAGGAACTACCGTTGGCAAGAAATGTGGTTATACTAAAACAAGAGTAGTACACCTATACACCATGCAGACACACACGAACGACAGGCTTTAACACAATTTTAAATACTAAAAAATACTCAAATATACACATTGCTCTTAGAACGCAGCCTCTGAGCTGCTCCATAACTGGATAGAACAGGAACCACAATGTTAATATAGTTATATTACAAACCGGCCTGATGTAATTATACACAAATTCCATGCTACTGCGACAACTCTTTAAACCAAATTAATCTACCCACCAGCGCCACAGAGCCATAATACGACCTGATCGCTTTATTGTTTATTAAATAAATTAAATGCGAAATACCTTAACACTAAAACGTGGGCAGAAGTAAACAGTTTTCACAAATAAGTAACTATAAAGCACGCATTATCAGACACGCCCAACTCGATTAAAGATCTGTACCTGTCTTACAATACATCTGGAGAACAAGACTTTGTTAGGTATTCGAACTTTGACCACCTAGCAAATACAACAATTATCAAATATCAGACATAAGTAGAATTAGTATCTAGAATCATAGAAACACAAGCCAATGAAAAATCAGATCTATTAGGCCAACGTGCAATTGTACAACTCAGAACCTTCACAAATTGGGAATATGCTTTGCTCAAACTAACCAACCAAGATTTGGAGCTCCCAATTAGACGTGTAAACCCAATAGATAACCTCAGATTCTTCACAAAATAGTCAGATGTAATCCTTTTTAGCACAGGCTAATATCAAACGGTAAAACGACATATTTCACCTTCATATTATGTCAAACAGTAGATAAGCTCTCAAAAGACTTACCATTAAAAACGAATCATAGTGTAGCCTAGATTAATGTAGCTCTAGAATTAATGAGATAGATTTAAATCACAACCAACGAGCTTCAAAAACATTAACAAAAGCAAAATTCTTGGTGAACTTATCGGGTATAGCACAAAGATAAGACTTTCTAGGTAGTTTTTGAGAATTTTTAAGAGCTGTCCGATTTGTCACACAGATTAGAGAAACATCAAAACACCGTTGTATAGGACTTTAAAACCCAGAGAAACCTGCTAAAATAGTTAGCCTCCTTTGGGGTTAAACGGATAACCAATACAAATTTGATACTACTATGTACATTTATTCCTCAAAACGGTCTGAAGAGAAGGAAGTGAACAGCACTTCCTGGTTCAACAAATCTGATTTGGAAAACATGGAACGAAGCCCCACGAAATGGCATAGAGCCACCGATAGATGAAAGCAAACCACAGTATAGATAGATTTGATTAGATAGAAAACATATTTTTAAGAATAGGGCTCCAATAAAAGCAAATAAGCGAAACATATTTGTAAATAGATTAGAATTAGTATATGAACTATAAGTGAATAGTTTTATGCATACATTTACAGACGAGTTGAAGAAGAATCAGAATACAGCAGTTGTCCATACAAAGAGTATAGTGAAAGGAATCGTTTCGAATGTGGTGTGGTGTTTTTTGTCAGTACATGTATATACAGACCTACTTCACAGATAACGAGAGCCAGAACAAGAACAAGCCTCATAGATGGACGAGCTTCCAGTCCAGGCCCCAGTAAGGGATATTGAAATATTGTGACCTAAATTGGTTTAATATAGGTCAACCAGAGGGAACGTTGTAAATTTTAAAATATAGACTAAAGCAGATGTGAATTTGATTTGACCGGACTTGAACTCTTGTCTCTTTCCCAAGCAAAAAGACTGCCCTCAGGGATTAAGTCACAAGGACCAGGTAAAAAACAGACGAATTATAAACAAAGCAGTCAACGAATACTCGCCTTTCAGAACACAAGGCCCCGACCCATCCTATTAACGTCGGGGGGGGGGGGGGGCGGGGGGGGGAGTGGGGGGGGGGGGGGCGCAGGGGGGGGGTGGGGGGGGGGGGGGGGGGGGGAGGGGGGGGGGGGGAGGGGGGGGGGGGGGGGGGGGATTTTTTTTATATATAATTGTTTTTGTTTATTTTATTTATTCTGGGGGGGGGGTTGGGGGTTTTGGGGGGGGGGGGGGGGGGGGGGTTTTTGAAAATTTTTTGGGGAGTGGGGGGGGGGGGGGGCGGGGCGGGGGGGGGGAGGGGGGGGGGGGGGGGGGGGGGGGGGGGGGCGGGGGGGGGGGGGGGTGAGAGGGGGGGGGGGGGGGGGGGGCGGGGGGGGGGGGGGGGGGCTGGGGGTGGGGGGGGGTGTGGGGTGTTGTTTGTTTTTATTGTTTTCTGGGTTTTGGTTGTATCTTTTTTTTTTTTTTTTTTTGTGGGGGGGGGGGGGGGGGGGGGGAGGTTGGGGGGGTCTGGGGGGGGGGGGGGGGGGGGGGGGGGGGGGGGGGGGGGGGGGGGGGGGGGGGGGGCGGGGGGGGGGGGGGGGGGGGGCGAGTAGGGGGGGCGGGGTGGTGTGTTTGTTGGGGGGCGGGGGGGGGGCGGGGGGGGGGATTGTTGGGGGGGGGTGGGTGGTTGGGTGGGGGGGGGGTGGGGGGGGGGGGGGGGGGGGGTGGGGGGGGGGGGGGGGGGGGGGGGGGGGGGGGGGGGGGGGGGGGGGGGGGGGGGGGGGGGGGGGGTGGGGGGGGGGTGGGGGGGGGGGGGGTGGGGGGGGGGGGGGTGGGGGGTGGTGGGGAAGTCTGGTTATTACACGTTTCCTGCATCTGGATCTTTGCGCTCCACCCATGATGACAGATGACCGCCCTTTGCATCTGTCAAAACAGTCTGGTCATAACACTGGGGAAAAACCCCTGAAGACAGCTCAACATGGGCATATTAGTGACTGTTGCCCTGTTTTATTTATTTACATGTTTTATTTTTCATTTTTATATTGTTATTTTTCTTTCTATTGATGTACTTTCATTATTTAACAAGACTGGTTGCCTTGTGTATGAATTGTGCTATACAAATAAACTTGCCTTGTCTTGCCTCTTTTACTACTAGCTAGATGTCTGTACAGCAGCTGATTAGTATTTTTTCCCCCATAAATAATCCATATAAAGTTTTGCAAAAGTAATAGTTTGTGAATAAATGAGACCACAAGATGCTGTCTTGTGGAAATATATAAATAAAATCAATTTTGGACACTCCTGTCTGTGTTCTCAAATATGTTTTGTCTTTCGGGTCGTAATACTGGTTAAACAGGTGGAAACGCTCCTATCAGGGTAGGGTATAAAGCTGAGTAGAGTATTGTAGGGCTAAGTAGGGCTGGTAGAAACAAGGCTTATGTCTCATCTACGGATGTGAAAGAGGCCTGAAAATACATGCGCGTGAAAACTAGTGAAGTCTAAAAACTCTTTGATAGTTACCACAACAAGATTCACCTACAAACCAGAAAAAAGTTCATTACAATTAATCATTAACTGTAATAGCTATTATTATCCATGTCCATTTCACTTTCATGGATCATTTGCATTGGAAAGTAATGACAATGACTTTATGCATTTTTTAAATTCATGTATTGTCTCTTTAGATGACAAAACCTAAATGCAAATACATGTGGTAAACAGTGACCTAAGTTTGAGACCAGCCATATAGGACAAAACATATACACGAAAGTAAAGCATTTACTATCTAAAAAAACACATTTCAAGTTTTCAAGGACACCGCAAAGAAACAAAGCAAAATAAAAGTTAATACGCATAATAATAAGAGTTTCATTTTTTAAAGTGACAGAAGCTTTTTCACACATTTTCATGACTTGTAAGGCCCAGTATTTTTAACACTTTGTCAGCTTTACTGTTTTGCTGTGTTTCTTTGAGGTACTGGATCAGCTTCCCGGAGGCCTCTTTGGCCTCCTTCTCGTCCCACATGCGCATCAGGGCGATAGTGCGTTCAATGCTGTCGTTTGGGTAGTCCTGCTCACAGCTGTCGATTTTACCCTTGTGCATCCGATTTTTCATGGCCAGATTCCTCATGTCTTTCCATCCAATCACTTCTGCGATGTCCGGGATGTGGTGAGTCAGAGACACTGTGGGGACTGAGGATGTAAACAAAAACAATTCTATTCAACTGAAAATGCTGTCATTGAGTTGAAAGTGCACGTTTTAAACATGTCCTAGACCTAGAGCAGTGCATTTTGAGTCCTTTTCTTTTTACTTTGTACACCCATGATTGTGTGTCCTCCTCTGACTCGAATTTGACCATCAAATATGCTGATGACACCACCATCATCGGTCTCATCAGTAACAATGATGAATCCTCTTACAGAGCAGAGATCCAAAATGTGGCCAGTGGAGTAAAGCTAACAACCTCCAGTTGAACGCATCAAAAACATGTGAACTGGTCTTCGACTTCAGTCGCAATAGTTCTTACTTGCCTGTCGTAATCGATAACTCCCAGGTGCAGATTGTAGAGGAGTGCAAGTTTCTGGGTTTAACTCTGTCTAACAACCTGAAATGGGTTAAAAACACTGACCGGGTCGTTAAGAAAGCTCGTCAGCGTCTCTACTTTCTGCGTAAACTTAGAGAATTTACCACTAACTCTAAGATTCTGCTTAACTTTTATCGCTGCACCATTGAGAGTTTACTTGTTGGCTCTGTGTCTGTGTGGTTTGGTAACATCACAGATAAAGAAAAGAGAGCTTTAAACAAGGTGCTCCGCTCTGCAAAGAGGACCGTGGGCTGTGAGCTTCCAGACTTTTAAACAAAGCTCTTAGGATTGTCAATGACTCTTCTGGCCACCCTGGGAAAGCCATGTTCCAGCTTCTTCCCTCTGTCAGAAGATATCGCTCTCTGAGATGCAGGACATCTCGACATGCTGCTTCTTCCCACAAGCTGTTATCTGTTTGAACAGAGCACTTTAATGTTCTTGTTCTTTGTATTGATACTGTTTTAGCCGATCGATTTCACAGTGACATTTGTCTGTTTTATTTGTTTTTTTTCTGTACTTTTAATGTTTTATGTCTGTGCACACTGGAGACTTTTGCTAATATATTCCAATGTGGTGTTTTTACTGCAAATGGCTAATAAAATGAATCTGAATCTGTGCATCCCTGTCTAAACCCTAAAACTTAATGTTGTTGAGGGGGAAAAACAATCTTTCACATACCCTAATGGAGGCAAAATCATTTTGGTTTGGGGCCACATTAAAAAAGAGCAGGTTGAACCACAACTAGCGTATATTTACAGACCAAGATCACCCAAAGCGCTTTACAATGTTCAGAGTTCAGATATTGTTTTATTCTCTCCCCACGGTGATGACAGAAGTGAGACGCCGAACGCACATCAAAGCCCCCAATCACAAACACATCCATTCAATCACTCATTACATTCAGACTTATTGTACATGTTTTTAGTGGTAGGGGAAACCGGAGCACTCGGAGGAAAACTACGCAGACAAGGGGAGAACATGCAAAATCCACTCAGAAAAGCCCTGTTCCAACTGGGATTCGAACCCCTGACCTTCCTGAGAAGCAAGAGCCACTTTACTTTTATACCATAATTTATCTCAATACTTGAAGTACATAATGGAACTGAAGTAAAACTGGATCAAAAGTTGGTTATTGAAGACGGATAGACCTAGTATTATTAATAATTAATTAATAATTATTAATAATACTACTAGGTCTTAAAACTATTTTAATGCAGCGTACGCTTTGTAGTGTTTGAATTAGTCAAATTTTTTCAACAATGAGAAAGATTAAGGCTGTTATAGTGACGACAGTGGAGTCACTCTGGTATCAACAGAAACACGTCTGCGATGATACTAGTTCTGATCAAATAAATACAATGTGGAAGAAATCAGCCGGAGACGAAGAGCTGAGTCTCACTTATCTATTCCAAACACTAATCACACACAGGTGGCCACACTCCCCTCTTATCTCTTCCCCCCGGAACCCGCTCCTTCACAATAACACATTTGTGTGTGCGTTCACCAGCCACCACACAGGCCCCCCCAGAACACACAAATGAACACATTACTCTAACCCCACAAAACAAAACAAAAAACAAAAAAAAGGTACCACTAAGAAAATCTAACAGGACCACTCTACCCCCCCGACTCCGCTTAACCGGTGTAGCCATCCGGGCAGGGACAGGCAGGGGCCCCACCCCCGGGGCAGGATTAGGCGGGCGGCCCCGCCGAGCAGGCTTCAAGCGGTCCACCGTGACCCGATCCCGGCCAGCCCCGACCTCCACCACAAAATACTTGTCCCCTGTCTCCAGCACCCGGAACGGGCCATCGTAAGGCGCCCGCAAGGGATTACAGTGTGCGTCATGACGTACAAAAACGTATCTGGCAGACATAAGGTCCTTAGGAACATAGGACTGAGGGATACAGTGGTGCGCCGCAACCGGCCTGAAAGCCCCTGCCGGGGAAAAAGGCAGCGCCGGCACCCTCGGAACCAGGCCAGGGGCGGAATGCAGAAACTCCCCCGGGACCGTCAGCGTCTGTCCCAGCACCAACTCAGCAGAGGAGGAGCGCAGATCCTCCTTGGGGGCGGAACGTAAATCCAACAAAACCCACGGCAACTTGTCCACCCAGCTATTGTCCACAAGAGAGGCCCGGAGGGCACCTTTCATAGTCCTGTGAAACCTCTCGCTGAACCCGTTAGCCTGCGGATGATATGCCGTGGTCCGGTGAAGTTTAACCCCCAAACTCCCAGCCACTGAAGTCCACAGCTCCGAGGTGAACTGGGGGCCTCTATCAGAAGTCAGGTCCAGAGGAACCCCAAATCGCGCCACCCACAAATAAATAAAAGCCCGGGCCACGTCTGCCGCAGTAGTAGACAACAGGGGCACCACCTCCGGCCATCGAGTGGTCCTGTCCACCATGGTCAGGAGGTGAGTGAACCCCCGGGAAGGGGGAAGAGGGCCCACCAAGTCCACATGGACATGTTCAAAACGTCTCTCAGGAACCGAAAAAGGACCCAAGGGAGCTTTCACCTTGGCCCTCTGGCAGGCCACGCATGTGGAGGCGCAAGTCTTAACGTCTTTTTTGAGGCCAGGCCACACGAACTTAGCACTCACCAACTTCACCGTCGCTTTCACACCGGGGTGAGACAGGGAGTAAACAGCCTCGAAAATGCGGGCGCGCCAGACCGCCGGTACCAAAGGACGTGGTCTGCTCATGGACATGTCACACAGAAGCGTCGCCCCGCTGTCCTGAAAAACCACATCTTCCAACCTCAAACTAGAATCAGTGGTGCGCAGCTCCTGCACCCCCGAATCCGCCAGCTGGTCCACCGCCATCTCTGCATAGTCAATGCCTAAATGGACCGTGGAAACCTGAGCCCGAGAGAGACAGTCCGCCACTGCCTTGTCCTTTCCTGCAACATGTCGAATATCACAGGTAAACTCAGAAATAGCAGAAAGGTGCCTTTGTTGCCGCGCCGACCATGGTTCCGAGGTTTTGGCCATAGCAAATATAAGGGGCTTGTGATCCACATAAGCAGCAAACTCTCGGCCCTCCAGTAGAAATCTGAAGTGGCGTGTGGCAAGAAAAAGGGCCAAGAGCTCCCTGTCAAACGCACTGTACCTCCTCTCTGACTCCCGCAACCTTCTACTGAAAAAGGCTAGTGGCCGCCAGGCACCATCCGACCACTGCTCCACCACTGCCCCCACCGCGCAATCAGACGCATCGGTAGTAAGCGCAACCGGTGCAGTAGGATCGGGATGCGTTAACAGCGCAGCCTCCGCCAGTGCAGCTTTAGCCCGGTCAAACGCCAACACCCTTTCAGGGGAACACTCTACGACTTGGTTACCCCTCCTACCCCTCAAAGCGTCATACAAAGGGTGCATAAGGTGGGCGGCATG